CACCCAGCGAAGGCCAGGGTCCCTAGCCAGGTGCCCTGGGGGCACCACACAGCACCCAGCAAAGGCCAGGGTCCCCAGCCAGGTGCCCTGGGGGCACCACACAGCACCCGGCGAAGGCCAGGGTCCCTGGCCAGGTGTGGAGGTGCAGGCCTGCAAGCCCAGCCACTCAGGAGGCGGAGGAGACAAGAGCATCGCAAGCTTGAGTTTAATCCAGACAACTTCATGAGATCCTGTCTCAACAGGTAAATAAACAAATAAAAATGATATACTGCAAACCTGTACTAATGGAAGTAAAAGTTTTACTTGAGAAGAATGGAATCACGGAATTCAAAATGGGGCACAGCAGTTACGGAGAGGCAACGCATGCCTGCGCATCAGGGCGAGCTGTCCGCTGGCTCCTCACGGCCTGCAGGAAGAGGCCTCCTCCTGCTGCCTCTGACGTCCGCTGGCTCCTGGCTCAGAGCAAGGGTCACAGGAGGGGACAGGCCAGCACTGCACTGCGCTGGAGAGGTGTGTGCTCTCCATCAGGCAGCACTGCTTCCAAAAACACGTGTTGTGTGCAAGCTAGTGTGGCCCGGCCCGCCCGGCAACGTTCAATGGCAGCGCTGCCGCAGCCAGGGATGAGCCCCCCCCCCCCCCCAAGCACCTGCCCGGCAAGCTCGAGGTCCTGAGCTCAGTTTCCAGGCAAAAAAACCAAAGCTGTCACAAGCCATCTTTACACAATTTCAGAAAGTTCCCAATTATGGTTCCTTAATAAGAGTTCCTCTCTTTGGTTTTTCTTTCTTAAAAAAGAAAGGGTTTTTTTTTTTTTTTTTTTTTTTGGTTTGGTTTTTTTTTTAAAGTCACTTCTCTTTTCAAATACACCCTCAAGACGCACACCGAAATGAGGCCTGCGAGCAGAAGCGAGACCACCCTCGGTCTGGAAATCAACCTGATTCTGTTTTACATAGGTAAGCCTGCGGCTTTCCTTCTCTGATTTATTTAGCCTTTTTTTTTTTTTTTTTTTTTTTTTGCCTAATGCATTTATATTTTAAACTCCTGCTGAATAATTTTTAAGTGTGTAACATTATAGAAAGTGCCTGAAGCGACGTTTCTTCCCCCTCAGCACCAGACAGCACCAGCTGGGCAAGGCTGCGCGGTAACCCTGAAAACGCCTGGGCCTTGCCGCTGCTGCGGCGAGCAGGTCGGCCAAAGCGCTGCACAGTCTCGCGCCCGGGCTGCCGCCGCACCGCAGCGGTGGTGAACACTTTCCAAAACACTGTTTCTAAAACTGAATTTTTGTAAAATAAAAGTGCTGCACTTATCATTTGCAAGACTTCCGGACAGCCTCGCAGAGACCAGCCATCCCTTAGTCTATTCTGAGAACCGTGACGGCATGTGCTGTGTCCTCTGTGAATACGCATCTTACGGCACACTCCCAAGAGGCTCAGCTTGCCACAAAACTTAGACTGTGGTAGAGAAGGGCTCAAAACTTCCTAAAATGGATCTTTTCTTGTCTGTAAGAAAACAGACCAAAGTGTCAGTGGTGGCGCCTTTGGACAAAAGGACCGTGATGACCTCTTGCTCCTACTTTTAGCAGTCCTCTTTCTTTTCTTAGGGGCACTTGCGGGTTAGGCCAGTTATTTAAGTGCCTGCGCGGGCAAACCCAGTCGGGCACAGGAGACCACAGTTGGATCCCCAGCTCCCCGTGCCTTACCAGACCAGCCCTTAAGCAGCCTGAGCCAGCCTTTTTTTTTTTTTTTTTTTTTTTTTGCAGAACCAAGGATTGCACTCGGGCCTTTGCAAAAATCCTTTTTTTAATCATTCATTCATTTTATTTATTTATTTATTTATTTATTTATTTATTTGGCACAGGGTCTCACTATAGCTCAGACTCGTAATGATCCTCTCGGCTCAGCCTCTCCAGCGCTGGCATTATAGGTGTGCACCACCATGCCTGGTCCCGCTGCCTGGGGCTGGCACGACATGCAGTACCAGGGATCAAACCCCAGTCCCTGCACTTGCCAGGCAGGGAGATCACCGAGCTATCTCCCTAGCCCTCTATTTTTTCTAACCAACATAACTTTTATAACTTCTTTAGTTAGTACTGTTCTACAGAAGAGCCCTGATCTTTAGAGATGTGTCTGGGGAGATGTACCCAGGACACCCCGATGGACCCACCCTCAACCCACAGAGGGCAGCATGAGGGGGCCGAGGCAGGATGGGCTGAGGCCAGGGAGGCCCGCTGGGCTGGGCTGTGTCTGCATGTGCTTCAGACTCTGTAATAAGAAGGTGTTTATATGTATAAAATCTTAGTTCTCTACTAACTTTCTAACTTTAAAAAAAAAAAAAAGTAAAACGACTTGTATTCTCTCTACCAAGATAAAACTTTCAACATGTTGGTAGATACTCTGATTAAAAAACAATCCTACAGAACACAGAAACTTTTTTTCAAGTAAAAAAAAAAGAGATTTATTTGCAGATGGGAAGGGAGAAGAGAATGGCAGACAGCTGCTCTGGAAAAGGAAGTATCTGGAAGTGAATTATCTGGAACAACAACAAAAACCCCCAATAAATGTTTGGCCAGGCGTGGTGGCACATGCCTGTAATCCACCGCTCTGGGAGGCTGAGGCAAGAGGATCACAAATTCCAGCTTCACCTGGGCATTTTAGCAACTTAGCAAGACCCTGTCTCAAAACAACAGAAATTTTAAAAAGGGCGGCAATGCAGCTCAGGCCAAAAGCCCTGGGTTCAAGCCTCAGCACAGAGAAAAAAGAAGATGTTCACAGGAGCAGGCTGTGCTCAGACACGCCCGACCTCTCTTCTGCTGGTGTTGCCCAAGAGGTGCGGCGCAGGGACGGTTTCCTCCTTGTGCTCTGAAAGGAAGCCACTGCGAGGGGCGCCCCGCCCCAGACTAGGCAAAGGCCAGAAACTACAAAACTGCAAATGCTTCTTCCTTGTACAGCACTAGTTCTTCAAGGAAGATGTTGAAACTCAGCTTCATTTTAAAAATCTTTCATCTGAAAACCATCTGAGCCTGAGTCATTGCTTTGCTGCACTCCGACAGGCCCAACCCCACCCCAACGTCCCGTGTGAACATTATTACAAAAGGTAAAGCGCTGCTCTGACCACGGAGACCCCTAAGCCCGCGCAGATGGCAGCGCTGCTGCTACGTAGCAGGCCGGGTAAACACAGCCCGCGGCTCAGCTCCGCTGGCCTCCTGCGGCCACACAGCACCCGAGGCACCCAACATCTGGCTCTGGGGCAGGTCACCGCCCACTCCAGCGCCTCGCAAACGCTACAACTCTAAAATTAAAATGTGGCGAGTACACATTTGCAGCATAAATGCCACAGCTTGAATTTAATTCCCCTCCTGCTCTGGTTGGAGACCTGCAAGAAAAGCTTTCAGTGAAAAGGAGCCTCCATTTGAAACTCCGCAGCAGGCTGCTTGGCTTACTTTGCAGTATCATTTACAGGAGCAAAGACCACACTCAGCAAACAGGGCCAGGCCGAAGCAGACGAAGACACCTCACCCCAATTTCAAGGTGTCTCACCCAGACTTTCTACATAAGGCCCCCGCCCCTGAAAGGTTTGGGGAGGCCTCTGCGTAGCTCTCTAGCTCCACGTGTCGGGTTACAAGGAAGGCCGTGGCGGAGCCCAGCTCCACGTGGCGCCACGGGTGTGTAGGTCCGGCTCCGGGAACCCCTGCAGAGAGGTGTCAGTGCAGCGGCAGAGGCAGGTGCGCTCTCCACGCGTGCGGAGCGCCACACTCGCACCGGGCAGTCAGCGGGCCCGCTGACCCGCAGCAACACAGAGCTCTGAGCTGGGCTGGCCCAGCTGCGACGCGTGCTTGGGTGCGCTCCCCTCTGCATCACACCGCCGCCAGGCACATAAGGGACAGGTCGCAAAGACTACAGAGCAACGTACACGTGCCAGGCAGAAATCAGACCTGCCTACAGAATACCGGGCTCACGCGGCCTCTGCTCAGCGGCTGGCCACAAGGCCAGCATGCCGGCTGCACCTGCACAGGTGCGCACCACGCCTGTCATCCGGGCCCACAAAGGCACCACTGCGAACGGCCACGCACCAGCGATCCTAATCCCTCCTCAGAGAAAAGGGTCTTTCTTTGTCGTTCCTGCCCAGGGCCTGATCAGCAGTCACCTCTGTATGCAGAGCCTGACCCGCTCTTCCATGCTGAGCACGGTGCTCCTCCAGGGGAGGGGCCCAGCCTGGCAAACGGCCTCTCCAAGCTTAAGGCCGCGGGGAGCTTGGGTGCAGGGAGAGCCCAACGTCCGCCTGAGCCCCGCACTGCTCCTGCCAGGACCTCCCGCAAGCCAGCAACCCTAGGAGCCAGGGCAGCTGAGGACCGCTAGTGTCTGCTTCTCTAGGTTTGCTGACATTGAAAGTAACGTTTTAAAAAGCAGGAGAGAATGGCGGGGTCCCCTTCCCAAACACCGGCAGGCAGCCGGCCACGGGGGAGGGCCCGCTGAGTGCTGCCTGATTCCTCCGCAGGTGCTGCGGGCGCCTGCGCCGTCTCCGTCACGCAGCCGGGCTACCTGGAGGTGGACGGTGGCACGGACAAGGCTGTCACCATAGAATGCCGCTTCACCGCCGCCGGATGCCCTTCGCAGCCGCCCCAGAGCCTGTGGTTCCGGTACCGCACTCACCAAGCGGAGCACCTCTGCTCGGGCTCGTGCACAGGTGAAGCGGACAAATTCATGGTGCAGAAAGCCCTGGAGCAGAACCGAGTTTCTCTCACTGTCAACAGGGTGACGCCAAACGACAGTGCAATTTACATCTGTGGAATAGCGTTTCCTACTGCAGGGACGCCGGGAGCTAAGCAAGCCGGAGGAGGGACCACACTGGTGGTCAGAGGTCAGTCTGTCGCGTCTTCACCAAGGGCAGCATCATGTGCTGCGTAGGCTCTTAAAACCTCCTGTCACATTCAGAACTAGAAATGAATTTGCTAACCCAATATCCCAGGCAATGAAGGGCAGGATCTGAAGCAGCCTGCCCTGGGGTGGGACTCAGGAGCACCCCAGCCCTGGCCCTGGTGCAGACAGAGCCCTTAGCCCTGGCCTCCTTTGGTGTGCTGCGCTGACAAGTTCACACCAGCTGGCTTCTAGGCACGGGCTGGGAGCTGCACTGTCCAGGACACACAGCAGAGAAGCGCGGGAGGGCAAGGGACACAGCAACGTGGCGAGAAGCCACCAGCAGACCCTGACCTTCTGTCAGGGAAGAGCGGCAGCCGGGCTTCCTCAGATCTGCTATGATCCCTGACAGTCCCTCACCAAGTGAGGAGGACAGCAACCCTAGCTGAGTCCTACCAGTAATTTCACCATGTCAATCCCTTGAGAAGTCTGAGACTGACCAAGTGGGCAATCCCGGCTCCCTGGGAAGCTGAGGCAGAGGGACCCCATGAGGCAGGAATGCCAGGCCAGCCCCATGGAAAGAGCCAGACTCCTAAAACAAATAAATATATGGATAGACAGATAGGAAAAGGAGAAGGAGGGGAGGGAAAGGAGAGGAAGGGATGGGGATGGGAGGAGAAGAGAAGGGAGAAGGAAGAGGAGGGGAGGGAAAGGAGGGGAAGGGATGGGATGGGAGGAGAAGAGAGGAGAGGGAGGGGAAAGGAAAGAGGGGGAAGGATGGGGATGGGAGGAGAGGAGAGGTAAGAAGAGGAGAGGGAGGGGAGGGGAAGGAGGGGAAGGGATGGGGATGGGAGGAGAGGGGAAATTGGGGGGAGAAGGGAAAGGTTGAGAACAAGCCAGATGTGGCGGCACACAGGAATTTTACCCTGAGTTTGAGGCCAGCCTGGAATATAGAACAAGACCCTGAATCAAAAAAAAAAAAAAAAATTTTCAGAGAGGATAATTTATATGATTCTGAAGGAAGAAAAGGGCAGTAGCTCCTTGATTTGTGTGGGTATGTGTGTTTGTTTTGTTTTGTGGTACCAGGAACTGAACTCAGGACCTTGCACTTGCCAGGCAGGCACTTGTGCTGCTGAGCTACATCCCAGCCTTCTTTCGTTTTTTTTTTAAAAAGAAAACTCTTCCCTGAAAAAGAAATCTGCTATGACAAGCCTGAACTCATTTGAACATGCTATCAAAATCAGCCCATCAGTTTTAAAACAAGACTTTGAGAATCTGAGCCCGTCTCATACTGGGGCTCCTTAGAGTCGTAGTTCTAACGGGCTTCTGACACTGAAGTGTCCCGCAGAGTTACTTTCCTCTCAGGTGTAAGATAAATGAGAAATGAGAGGTTAATAAATACACCTTGCTCACACGCAGCACTGGGTAACGACTGTGCCAGCTAGCACAGTGCAGCAAACACACTGGAGACACGCTTCGTCGCACGGCGCGGAGGGGTAATGGCCTCTGCAGAGGTTAAGGGCACAGTCTCCTGTGCACACAGAACCGTAAGTTTTCCTAAAATGAACATGGCAGCTACCTTCCTTTCCAGAGCTCTAAGTTCAGCACTGAAGCATGTTTTAAGCTGCGCAGAATTTTAATTTGCTAGTTCCGTAAATAAAAATGTTGTATAAACTAAGCTCCTGACATAAGCATCTGTAAAATATCTGGTCGGAATGCATAAGCTAACAGCTCCTCCAGATCTACTTGTATCTCGTGCTCTACGCCTCGCTGTAACCAGCTGCTGAGGCTGCAGGGACAGCAGGTACCAAGTCCTTCCCCAGAGCACAGGGCACTCACTTCCCGTCAGGAGAAAGAAGTTCAGAATGCGCCAAGGCGCTCACTAAGCTCTCTGAAGAAGCTGACGAGGAGAGCACGCGTCACGACAACATGCCTTTAAGCAGGCAGTGAGAACGGCGACCCGCGGGGACCCCCCTCAGGCTTCTCACGGCCGCACTCTCAGCTGGCGCAGGCCCAGTGATACAGGACACCACCAGCCAGTGTATGTGCGAACGTCGTCACAAAAGGCACTTGCGCCCACTTCTAACAAACTAAATGTGTAAGTGCCCTTGAACACGATGGCTTGAAATGTTTAACTTGAAGTCACATTTTATATACAGTGATTCTTAACATTATGACAGAGGGCTGGGTGAATCTGTAATTTTTAATGAGTAGTATTTTTGGTACAACATGTTTTAAGGAACAGATGAACTGGCTTCATCAGTCCATCACATACTTGAAGCTTTCTGACGCTCAGTAAATGTCTCCGTGAGTAGGCAAAGTTAAATTCACATTTTACCCCTAACCTGCAGCTTTAACGATACTGAGCATTTATACGAATGTGCGTCAACAGTGACTGTCTTTCCGTTGCACAACGCAGACGGCGGGCTGCTGAGCCAGGAACTGCACAGCGTCCTCACAGCACTCCTGGTCCTGCTCTCGGTCTACATCATTGGCTTGTGTGCGATCTTCGGAGTTCTCTCCAAAGTGAGTTAGATCTTCCGCACTGAACGGACAGCCTCGCTGTCATCGCGGGGAAACGGTTCCCACCGCTCCCCACGCGGTGGGCCTCAGGAAGAGCTGGCCCAGCCAGGTCCTTCCTCGGCCCTGCAGCCCGCCGCTGAGGAGAGCAGCAGAGGCCAACATCTTTTCCCGTGAAATCACTGAGCGGCGCACTGGCTTACAGGGCTTTCTCGTTAAGCTCAGGGGCGCGGGATCAGACAGCACCTTCCTGCCAGCTTTCTGCCATGAAGAATGGCAAAGTGAGGGAAAGCACGAGCGCCCTAAGAATAGTCTGCACACCCCAAACAGGCTTGCAGGGATCAGAAACTGCCTTACAGTATTGGGAAAGCCCTGAGGTCTCTGAGAAAAGAAGGTCTTCTGGCTCTCCCTGTGCCTTAAGAGGGGTGTGCACATCAGAATCACAGCAGGGACACCGCTCAGAGGCGCAGCACTGCCTGGCAAGCACAAGGTCCCGAGTTCCACTCCCAGCACCCAAAAAATAATTCTTAATCCTAGAGTACACATCAGGTGCATCATGAAATTCATCTAGTAATGAAATAAAAGCATTTTGGAAATAATATGAAAATTATTAACTTATTGTATAGAATCTGAATTTTAAGTTAAGCTCATTACTGAATGAGGTATCTGTCACAGTTGTTGTGCATGGATAAAATGGTTATACTTTCCTTTTCTTCTTGGCAGTCAAAATCCAACACTCTAAAAAACAAAGGAACAAAAGAAGATTCACAAAAGGTATAGACCAACACTTGTAAAATATTTTTTAAATTGTGGCTGGTTGTAACTATCTTAAAACTTAAATATTTCAAGAAACAGGACTAGCATAGTAGCTATGGACCACAGATACTGCACTAACGTTTACCTCTACTGAGCCCATCTCGAGCACAGCTGACTTGGATGGGCAGCTTCACCGCCACAGACTCTACTTCATGTACTCAAAATACAAGAGGGAGCGGGCGGTGCAGACGTGTGGGGCTGGCAGTGTCTTGGGCTGGTAGCAGTAAAGAAAAAGTTGGGGAGATAGCTGAGTAGAATAAGCACTTGCCTGCCAAGCACAGGGCCCTGAGTTCAATCCCTCGTACCACAAAAAAAAGAAAGAAAAAAGACAAAAGAAAAAGTTCTGATGAGTTCAGCAATCACCATTCGTGCTACTAAACATACAAATCTTTTTTGCATTTGTATTTATAGAAGAAAAGTGCTCGGCGTATTTTTCAAGAAATTGCTCAAGAACTGTACCATAAGAGACATGTGGAAGCAAGCCAACAGCCTGTAAGTGCTAAGTACCAAGAAGATGAGGCACGGGCAGAAAGCCCGCTTCAGTGGAAAAACTAAGTAGCCACCGATCTGTCATAAGCGTCTTCCCTTAGAGAAGTCTGAAAAAAGGCTTTCCATAAAATGCATCTTGATATAAAACCTGTTTTGATACATACATAAGGAAGGACATCTGATACCAGAGTGAACAGGTCCAGGCTACACGGAAGCTTTTAGCAATGTGGACACACACTGATCTCAACAGAGAGGCGCATACTTGCATGAAATCAAAATGACTTCTTAAAGTATCCCTATGCGGAAAAGACACTAGCTGATGCTGCACACACGTGTGAAGCACACCACTAGAACAACTCTGTTCTCAACAAGGCACACAGTACATCCACAAGGGCCGGGCATGTAACTCAGTGACAGACTCACTTAATGTGAGAGACCGGAGCTTCTAGTCCCCAGCACTCCCGTACAAATGTAAGTAAGTTGACATTATAAAGAGGCAAATAGTGCTACTGTCTCTTCAGCATTTGGGGCTGAAGTGACAGGAAGAATACTGTATTACCTACACGACATTCTGACAGTGTCCCTTTAAAGGGTGCTAGTCACGATTAGTGGAACAGATACACATGCCGGATCAGAACACTCAGATTTATATTAAAATACACACAATATAATGAATTTATCTATTAGTAAAAATATCTTCTTCCTAAACACCATCTGAGAGGCAAATCCAACAGGATAGTAATTATAAACTATAGTTTAATCTAACTTTTAAAAAACTAATTTTACACCAGAAGAGAGCCTCATACAAGCAGTCACTTCACCTTCAGTGTACATGCAAGCCACACAGACAAGGACCCCACCACCTGAGGAGCCACTCGGAATGTTACAGATGCTTGTGTGCACTTTTTTCTTACTGAAGATGGGGCATCTTTTCAACAAAGAGGCAAAAGGAAAAGGCCTGAAGGAAAGCCTGGCAATAACTAAAATTACTGACCAGGGTTTTGACGATGGCTTCTAGGCAGGAAACTTTTGTTCTATTATTCTAAATAAAGGCAAAATAGTACCTTGACATTCAAGATTGTCACAAGGAGACCAGATGTCTGAGCGCGGGCCAGCACCAAGGCTGTGCGCTGCCTGAAGGAGGGGACCACTGCTGACAGAACCCTAACCGTGGCTCATTCTTTCCTACTGCAGGAGAAAGACAACACTTACGAGAACAGAAGAGCACTTTCCAACTACAAAAGACCGTAGGTACATGGCAACAACTGCAGAACACAGGGCTCCGCGGGCCTGGATGTCAGCCCTGCACCCAGCACGGCACCAGCGAGCCAGGCCTGACCTGCAGCGCAGTGCCTTGCCTTGCCAGCACGGATGTCTAACCAAGTTAGGAGGGAAGCACCAGACGGGACTTGCGGGGAGGAAGGTATCTGTGGGCATCGTTAGCATCCCACTATGAAAATGGCACTTGGATTGTTCTTTGAAAGCTGCTTAGTTGTAAACAACTGCCCTCCTGTACATTCATTACTAAACACAAATTATAATGCATTATTTCATTAAGGTGTTGTTTTTAAGCTGGCACTAAATAAGACATATTCTCTTTAAAACCTAAACATTCTTTTAAAATATTTTTAGATCCCTTTGGAAGTATTTTATTTCTTTTCATGTTTTGGTGGTACAAGGATCAGACTCAGGACCTTGTGCTTGCCACTGAGCTACCTCCCCGGCCCTGGAAACGTTTTATAGTAACAACTCAAATCACAGATCCCGAGCCTTCCTGATAACACACGCACAGAAAAATAGGAAGGGGAGAAGGACATATAGTCTCATTTTATTTCTATGTATACGTACATATGTGTTGTGTGTAATGTATGTACGTGTGTTATAGATGTTTTGTGTTCATAGTATATGCAAACATATAAATAAAGCAACACATAAACAGCAGCATAAATTCACATGCTGGGCCGGGGAGATGGCTCACATGGCTGAGCCTAGCAAGTGCAAGGGCCTGAGTTCAATCCCTGGCTCTGCCAAATAAATAAATAAAAATCACATGCTAACATGTCTCCCTGTATTTCAAAATCATTTTTCTGTGTACTCTCAGAGGTATACATTCTCACTTTAAAACCACTGCCCAACGGTCTAACATGCCTGCGCAGGCAAGCTTAGGCAGGCGCAGGACACTGAGGTTTGATCCGGGCACCACACACTGCACCAGCCCCGCCCTCAGGGTGGGCTGAGCCAGCCACTAAAGAAATATATAAATGAATGAATAAATACATAACACCACTGCCATGGGTGAAAACAGAACTGAACCAGGCAGGCATTGATTCCATCCAGGGGAACAGAAGTACTGAATTAGATCATTCACTTTTCATTTCTGGCAGTTATTACATTCTGGCACTTAATTCCAGGATGAAAAAGACACTGTTCCTTGTACAACTCATCAGAACACAAAATTCCTGGAATAAACAACCTGGGGGTCAAAATCCCTAGGAATCAGAAAAAATGGGGCATACAGATGAATGTCCATTTTGTATCTGTGTATTCAAAGAGGTTGGGATAGATAATAGTTGCATTCTCTTAATGAATAGAATGATTTGTTCTAATGAAGTTTGTAAATAGGATCACAAGTCCGCATCTTGTACAGCAATTAACCACTAAGAAGAATATATGCAGTGTATTATTTGTTGAAACTGTACTTCCGATTTGATTTGAAACTGTCTCATTGCT